TTCTTGGGAAATATTCATTAGAAAGATGAATTATTTGAAGACTTTGAACGTGAGCGCTTAGAACTGGCATAGATTTCCTTATAATTTCACACCTCGCATGGGCACCAACCCCGGGCACCAACATAGCGGAAACCTAATTTGCATAAGCTTATGACTTCAGGTGAAAATCAAGAATAAGCAATGATGATATGTTGATTTACTATCATCTCTGTTAAAAGCTTGGCTTTTAATGTTGAATTATAAATGCCCAAACAAATGCGCTGTTTACCGTCTTTATGGCTTTATTTGTGATTTCCTTGAATTTCCTTCGTTGAAATTTTCCAAAATTTTTACGGTACATTGAATACGGTGGATATGAATTTTAAACACGAAAAAAGTAGGGTTTGTACTGGCAGTTTTTTAGAGTTTTGCAAATCTATGGCTTTAACCACTGCAGAAAAACTGGTCAGATGGATTAGGTAAAGTATTTATTACCAGTCTGCCTGATTTTACCGAATTCCACCGAAGTAAACGCGAGAAAATTCACTGTCAGTTTTGCTTTTTGTGCTCATGTTGACGTCATAAAATATCGAAAAAACTGACGTTTTCCTTTGAGCGCGCGCAGATTTACTTCAGCTTTCGTCCTAAGTGCGCATGCGATCGTAAAACCATAGGGAGCCACCTTAACTCGTCAGGTGGTGTGCGCACTAAGACCGCAATGCATTATTTTTGCCAGATTTCCAACATGGCGGAAGATTGTTGTGATGCGAGCGGCTTTTTGCGGTATATCTATTCATCGTTTTCTCGGCTTTCGCTCACCTTTTCTATACCAAAATATTATATTTGGAAAGTTTGATAGTAGCAAGTCAGATTTTGGTATTGAAGTTTTTACATTTAGAGCTTGTCAAGGTAACTTATGGCATTTCTCGAACAAGGTAAAATTCTCTCATTTTTGTCTTTGTCTAGTAGGTCCAAACTTTTGGTCGCTCACGGCTTTCAGGCACTGGTGCTTTGCCTGAACGTACAATGAATCAAAAGCTTAGATGTTTTCCTAGACGGCGAACATAATGCACCAGCAGATTTTTGCCGTTTCCACAGAACGAAAATTCTAAAAATTGTTAAACTTTAAATTTTTTACTGTTTAGCGGCCGTGCCATTGAGGTCACGCATGTCGGGTTGAGCACTTACATTTCACATTTTTCAACTCTCTTTGAAAATTTTGTTTCTTGCTCACGAGATATTTGATTCTTTGTTCTTCTAGAACTAGGAAAACCCCAATTGAGGCAATACGTTCCCGTAAGTTATCAATTGAACGTCAAAACTGGTTCAGTTTCACCGCAACGGTGTACCTTGTTTGTACCTCTGATGTCACAGTACGTGGTAGTTCTTTAAATACTTCCAAATAATTTCTCTGCATTTTTCATCCGTTTATTTGACTTTATTATATGGCTGTGTCTCACAAGGACTGGGAACTACTGAAATCGATATTGACCGCGGTCTAGTTTTCCCATCTAGACTGGCATCTAGATCGATTTCATTTTGCGTTGACAAAGTAGCAAACTAAAATACAAAAATGTTCACCATTTTCNCACGGCTTTCAGGCACTGGTGCTTTGCCTGAACGTACAATGAATCAAAAGCTTAGATGTTTTCCTAGACGGCGAACATAATGCACCAGCAGATTTTTGCCGTTTCCACAGAACGAAAATTTCCTTTTTTTACTGTTTACCGGCCGTGCTATTGAGGTCACGCATGTCGGGTTGAGCACTTACATTTCACATTTTTCAACTCTCTTTGAAAATTTTGTCTCTTACTCACGAGATATTTGATTCTGTGCTCTTCTAGAACTAGGAAAACCCCAATTAAGACAATACGTTCCCGTAAATTATCAATTCAACGTCAAAACTGGTTCAGTTTCACCGCAACGGTGTACCTTGTTTGTACCTCTGATGTGACAGTACGTGGTAGTTCTTTAAGTACTTCCAAATAATTTCTCTGCATTTTTCATCTGTTTATTTGACTTTATTATATGGCTGTGTCTCAAAAGGACTGGGAACTACCGAATTCACGAATTTGATTGGCTGAAATCGATATTGACCGCGGTCTAGATTT